CTGAACTGATCCTAAATTAACTTGTGCTGAGCCAGGTGCACATAGAATAGGTATTTTATTAACCAAGTAAGTAAATAAGTTGACGCGTAAATGTTAATATTTCTTCATCATTATGCAAAAACTTGAGAAATACATTTTTGTCAATATCTGTTGCTATTGTTTTTAATAACATGTCTGTATAGTTTACATTGGATAGGACTGAACAATCAGATAAAAAAATCAGTTGAATCTGTATTAGTCCTGATATCCAGAGGAAATTATTTTCTCTTCATTAAAGATGATTGAAACATGGATAATGTCTCATCTCCTGCAAATTGTCTAGCATTTAACTGTTTCAATGGATGGGTGTGCGTGTGGATAGTGAATAGAAAATTGACTGTCCCACGACAAACGAGTTTGTGATAAAAATCATTGATTAAATTGTACAAAAAAAGTATGGATAGTTAGATAAATATAGACATATACGATCTATCTAATTGATGACATATTGTTAATTCAATTATTTTGATTATTAAGTGTGCAATAATAAGCATCGGATCAAAATCAGTCGTGGTATGCTCTTATAAATTTGTACCACAGTTTCAATACTCTACACTTTATTCAAAAAAATTGTTTTCATGCAACAGTGTAGGTGATATCTTATTTTAATTCTTTGAATTGAAATAGATATCTTGAGTCACCTGAGGATATCCTTGAGTGAGGTCTAAACTGGTTGTAGCATGCTCTCCTAAATATATACGCACACACACCTATCTCACATCCATACACTCCATGCCACACATTACATCCACACTCATCCACTGATATGCACATCCCGCACTCATACTCATCCACCCACATCCTCATCGAACTCATTCAAGATGTTCTTACTCAGAAACAGAACTTTTTCTACATGTCAATGTTTTCTTTGAGTCTATTCTCATAATACATCTTGGATTAAAAGAGTCTCCTTAGAAAATCGAATTTTTCAAAAAAATATCGAAGTTGAGTTTTTATCACAGGACGATGCAGCGAAGTTTCCTCTTTCAACATATGTATATATATGACTTTTGGGAAAATGACCAGATTTTCAAAGACTTATCATATGAAGCTTGGACTCTACTACCATTTTTTCGGATAAATTTTCGTGGTTTTTTTTAGAATTTTTCAGTTTTGGAGAAACTGCGTTGCCACTTGCATTATCATTGAATGGAATATACTATTGTAATATGATTTATTCTGGATTTGAATGAAAAAATCCATTTCTAAAACTCCTTTAGCGTTTTTTTCTCAAAACACGGTTTCTAGGAAGGAAAATTGAAATAACTCTCGCTCGGCTCGGAGTATAACCGATGGTGTTTTTTTTTATTTTAAAGATCTTAATCAGCGGACGGATTTTTGATACTTGATTCCTGGACTGAGAAAAGTGGAATTAGCTGTCGATCGAGTCACCTTTTTTTTTTAGGCTTATTATGAACACCATGTCCATTAAAATGCTCATAAAAAATGAATGGAAGGGAGTTTCAAAATTCTGTCCGATAAATAGTTGCACACAGAGGCTAGCTTTAATTCGAAACCGGGTCGAGAGCTGTACCGCTTATAACGATGAAGTTATTTCGATTCTCCTGAAAGGTAAGAAAACAAGCCGGAAGTTCGGTCTAGTTAGGCATATCAGACTGAAACTTTTATTACAAGCGCTTCTCACTAAGCCAAAACGGTCCATTCTAAATGGGAAATCATTTCTGAGGGATCCCCTTAAGTAATTGGAAAAATTCATAAAATAGTGCATGATAGTGTTATTACGGTTTCTTACCTATAATAAAATCGATTGACTTAAAACGTTATAGTTGTTTAATACTGAGTAAATACAATTATCTCCTAGGTTTCGTACATTTCAATAATACAGTAAAATAATAGCTACCAGAGGGTAACTATGTTACAGACAGACACAGGTGAATTTTCGTTTCTAAACTTTATCCTTTCAGTCTAGAGAACTTGATTTATAAGTTAATAAAGAAAAACTGATTTTGAATATGCTGTACTTGTCTAATGAAGTTCAGTTAATATGTGTAATGCAATTGATTTTTCTACATAGATTTTGTCAAAGTTTTTCATTGTTGTACTTTTGTAACTATATTCCGTTTTTTGTTCTTTAATACTGTTCTTAACACTTAATATTTTATCTAAAATGATAATTAAGTACTGCGATTAAAAAAAATTTTTTTTTTAATCATATATTAATATATATCGAGTTACTAAATTTCAATGAATAAGAGACGATCATCAAGATTAGTATATTGATTTTAGAGATTTTTTACTCCAAATTTGAATATTTTTGTAAAGCAAAACATGACATCGAAAAGTTTCGATTTTTCATCATTCATATTATTCTGTATCTTGGACATGTTTAGAGTATAACCCATGTTATATTTATATATATTGATTTATAAGGATAGTATAAAAATCAATAGAATTATTTACAATTAATCATATTAGTGCTATTTCTATTACAAAAAAATAATGTGATTCTAATTTATTATAATCATATGTTCAGACTCATTTTCTAACTCTTAATAATTATCACATCATGTCTTTATGTATACAGCATTGAAAAATCGATCATAACATTCAATATTTTAATAATACTGATCGTCACTTCTAAAAGCATCCAAGGTCGAACAAGCATACTCGTAAATCGTCGTATTACATTGCCCAGTATTACGATCGTATTTCTCTATATGTGATAACAAGAAATATGATCGTTTACGAAATTCGTATACGGCTTCAATTTTATCCAATATATCTCACCATATACGATCGTATGCGATGAAATACGGATTTCCTATGCTCCATCCTAGGATACTAGTCTTCAGTTAATTTGAATCCAAATACGTAGGTGCTCTTTTTTTTTGTTATCCTACACAGTCATTTGTACCATAGTTATCAAATAGTAACTATGCTACAGACAGATACAAGTGAATGCCTATTTCTAGACTCTTTCATTTCAGTCTAGGTAACAGATTTTTTGGTTTGTTTTAGAATACTTGATTATATATATATTCATTATTATTTTTCTTTTTCGTGCATTCTATTTAATTCAGTATGTAAATTTTTCTTGTTTTCAATGAATAAACAAGAACGATTTGAATATTGGACAAAATTTGTTATTCATCATCCGAAAGCAAATATATTTGATGCTAAACAATTTTTTATTGATATGATTGAAAAAAATTTTTTAACTATTCTTAATTATCAACAAAAACGACTTGTAACAATGATGAATATATATATTAAAGAAAATAGAAATTTTTTATCAAAACAATTAAAATTAAATTCAAATGAATGTCAACAAATTTGTAAAAAAGCATTAGAAAAATTTATTCAATGTGATTTTACACATATGACATTACTTGATATTGATTTAATTAATAATGCTTATCAATCAAGTGATCCTATTGAATATCCTATTGATGATTTACAATTAAGAATTATATTTGATATGATTGCAGTACTCCATGAAGTTTTACGATCCGCATCACAATCATTAACCTATTCATTTGAATAAATTTGATCAAATCTTTATTGTATATGCGAAAATTGTATTCTAAATTCCAGGAAAAATAAAAGACATTAGAATAATATACTTTGTTTTCTTTTTTATACAGTTACAATTAAATCAGCATAAACAGGAAAATGATCTGATGGAAAAAATCCATCTTGATCATGATAATCATCAATTTTAGTTTCACCATGAACACGATAAATACTATTCAATGTTATCCAAATAAAATCTATTTTTGGACCATAACCAGCTGATCGAAAACCATTAAATGTTGGTACTTCACCATGTTGATATGTATCAATAAAACCGGCTTGTTTCATTTGTTGAATTTCTGATGCATTTTGTCCTAAAATAATAAGTTGTTGAACAGGTGTTGTACCTTCAACTTCTTCAGGCCAATTATTAAAATCTCCAGTTACAATAACTTGATTAACATTATAATTTTTTTTTATTTCCGAAAGAAGAATAGGTATGGAATGATGACGTGTATTTGGTGATGGATATTCTAAATGAACATTAAATATAATAAATGGTTGTTTTGTTGTTATATATTCAAGATGTGCCCATGTACAAGCAGATGAATGTTTTGAACCCCAAGCAGGACCTAATTTTGTTCGATATTCGTTAAACCAAAATGTTTCAGATGAAATAAATGAAAATAAATCATGACGATAAAATATAGCATTTATTGCATGTAATTCATCAGCTTCTTTACCTACCCATGACCAACATTTTGCTGATCTATAATATAGAATAATTATTATTATATTTTAGCAAAAATATTTTACTCATTAAGATCATCTAAAATATTATTTAATTGTGATACAGTGCCTTCTTGTGTTCCAATTATTTTTGGTTGCATTTTTTCAAGACATTCTTTCATAATTGGCCGTCTTTTACCCCAATCATTCGGTGTACCACGATCCATACCATCACGACGTAAATTAAATGTACATACACGAATAATTGTTGAATTCATTTTTTGTCTTATGAAATTCATTAAGACACGACCTTGATATTCAATTGTTAAACCAAACTAAAATTTTTGATTAGTTGGACATTAGAGAAAAAATATAATCTTAATTTAACTATCATATATTTATTTGATTAATTATATTTTAATAATCCAAAAACACAAAATTTTATTACTATATATATTGAAACCATGTTGAAAGAATAAACGTCACACATCATAGAGGCCGTTCAAATCAGTTACTATTCGAAAATAGCAATGATAAATGACTCATAATTTCTGAATACAAATACAAATAAAACCGATTGCAGAAAGAAATCAGCCAATTTGTTTACGTCATCGATTCTGTCACGAGAGAAGCTGATAGATGTTGCACATGAATGGTAAAGTTACCTTTTCACACGAATACATATTTTGACATACTGCCACGAATAAAAAAAAAGACATTTCAGAACATTTCGAGATGAAAAATAAAAATTCAACTACATTGAACTAGTAACTTAAGATTTTCATTAATCGATAATGCCATACTTGAGCTATTGTAAAAATAATCATCTGATTTTTAATTAATTCTCTTCAAATCAACTTTCATATTTATCTTTATAATTTCAAAAACAAAGATGAATAAAGGTTTGCAATTCGATAAAAACTTTGGATTATATTTTTTTTGTTACTGGACAGAAAATCAAAATAAAAAAAGTACATAAGTTAAGGTAATAAAATGAAAAAAAAAATGAATGGATGCTTGTTGATTTTTATTCATAGTATACATGTTAATTTTGTCGAAAATTCAAGAATAGCATTACTTAATCCAAGCCAGGTCTTATATATTCTTGTATTGGTTGCTTTACCTAAAATTTATGATACAAAAAAGATTTTTTATTTCAAATAATTCATGTGCATATCAATATCATTGATAGATGATCTTAATTTTTCTTTACACAACAAACGTGCATTTATATATACAAAATAACACATTTATACTTACTTAATATTCTTTTTTATTAATAGTCGAATAATTTGTTGCTATATTCATAGATAATAATTGATGATTATATTTTATTTTTCAATACTTACATGTAGGTTTTTTATATGTTGATTCAGGTGGTCTGTATGATAAATTATCTTTTACATAATGTTGAGAACGATCTGAATGTCGTGTTAAAGATGGACGTTGATTTAGTGTATTACTTTGTGACCAAGTTAAAGCATCTAATGATTGTGTTGCTGGATTTTTTGATGTAAAAGATAAATCATTATAAGATGATGAAAATTTATGTTGTGGTCGTTTCATTGGTGGATAACCAAAACGAGGTATTGGATATTTAAAACTATCATCAATTCGTACTGTACCTAGAAAAATAAATTTTAATCAAAAAAATTAATGATAGAAATTATTAAAATATAATAAACCATCGATAAACATAAGATTTGATCCAGAATATGTATTTGTTTGTTTTATATGACGCCATTGACTTCCGATACGACCATGACGCATTCTAAAAATGAGTTTAAAAATTTTTTTTGTTTTGTTGGAATATATATATATATCTTTATCATATCACCTTGGAAAACCACCTCCAGCTCTTGTAGCTGTTGTTAAATTTCTTTTCAAAGCATCTCGATAGAGAAGTAAAGCAGCTAATTGATCATTTTCATTATCGATCCAACTATGATTAATCGATGTTGAACTAAAATGAAGATTATTACCAACAATATCTCTAGAAGAAAAAAAAATCAAAAGAAAATCTTTATGTTTTTCATAATAAATATTAATCATACCGTTGAGTATCTGGTAATGGTGGATTGTTATTATATGGTTTAACACTTGCAGAAACAAGTTCATCATTTTTGTCATTAGTTTCATTATTTCGTTGTCCGAAATCATAAGATCGATTAAGAGATTCAGAACTTCCCATTCCATCGCTGCCTACATCATTAGCATCATCGTTAACAAATGATGCACAAGTGCATTTGCCTCGAGAACCGTGTAATGGACAATTCTATAAAATAATGTTTTTGTTAAATAATATGATTTATAAATAGACTAAGTTTGATTTTATTTGATATGAAAAACATGATAATTGAAGTCTATTGAAACTAAATAAACTTCATTAGCACATAATACAACAAAAATTTGTTGTTTAGATTTTTCTTGTAATTGTAGTTCAGATGATTTATGATGATCAGAAAAGTGTGTCGATCTAAAACAATATATGAGAACTAATATGATCATCTCACCTCATCAATAACTGGCCAATGTTTTTTTCGTGGACTCGAAACCCATGAAACATTATCCATACTTTGAGCATGTCGAAGTCCATTGGGTAGTTTATAAGAGGATGTTGCTACACCGTCCATTACTGGTTTTTTCTTATTATTATTGTTCGCTTCTCTCTGGTAATAAAAAACACCGATGAATGGTATGAAACATGCATAGATGTTGCTATTGTTGTTTTTTTCTTGTTATTGTCCTCCTTTCTCTACCTATTTTTTCTCTCTCTCATGAACAATTATAGATCTGACTATAATGAAACTCGTTTCTAAGTCCATTAAATCATTACAATACAAAAGAAAAATTGTTTTTCTCTCTCTCTCTTTCTGTTTGTTTCATCTTGCTGTTTTCATTTCACTATATTTTGATAATATGTATTTCACATAATGATGCATCAGAAAAAGAAAAAAAAAATTTTAGTTTGTTTCGTACTCGATTTGTTGAGGAGAATAAATAGAAACAAGATGAATATTTCTATCACGATTTGCCATCATTTATAAATATTACTTGATCTGTAACAAAACAGATACATTCGACTTGACCTATCGATATTATTATTTTAATAGAAAAGTACAATCAATAATGAAAGGTCATAAGTTACTCTCTTGTGTATATATATATATTTGTTTTTTTTACCTTAAAGTAATATTACATACAAAATTAAAATTCATAGAAAATAAAATTTTAACGATTTGAAAAAATAATAATGGTATCAAGACCTCGAATTTTAATAATACATTAATAATCTATAGTAAAAATAGGAAACTAATGCATAAATGTTATTTTCTTTCTTTTCAGACATTACAAAAAAAAAAAAGAGAAAAAGTAACATTTTTTATGCATTTATATTATTGTAATAGATACACCTTGTTGTTTATAATGATGAAAACAACAATTGTACGATTTTATATTTACAATGCGTATGGCATTGATCAATTCTTAAGTGAAACTCATTCATTGGATGTCATTGTGTTGAGTAGATTTGATTCTAAGGTTCCCGATATGTTAGTTATTAGATAAATCGAATTAAGAATTCAATTTTAATGTTGTGTTATATCGTTTACTTTAATCAATAATTTTTTATATTATAACTTTTTTCGAATGTAAATGACATTGATACATATCCTATGTTTATTAAAGAATTAATTATTGAATAAATATCTATGCTGAGATTACATTAATCATTTTGTAGAAAAGACTAACAGTTCTTTTTTTTAATAACTGAGTTCAACATCAACTAGAGATAGATAATTAACATTGTTTCTTTTTCACTTATTCAATCAAAAATGATTATTACATTTCCTTTTTTTTTTTTTCTTTTAAATAAAACATCATTTTGAACAATAAGTTAAATAATTCTTTTTTTCTTTTCAAATGTTTATAATAAAAGTGCGACAAAAATAAAAACTCGACTTGATTGTATCGATCATTTCAAATATTACAAAAAAAATAAAAGATTTTCTGCTCGATAGTTTACTTAACAACAAATATTTGTAGAATGCATCAGTGTTTTTCTTCAAACGATGCTAAACAAAATAACAAGCTGAGATACATTTTTATAATCATATTTATATGACGATTAATTGCCTAGGCTACAGTTTAAATCTACACATTATTCTTCTTTTATTTGTCGACAATTGCAATCAAACAATAAAATGTTCATATATATTTTCTTTATGAAAGTTTATTATAACACACAAAAAAAGAATTTAATTATTCTTTCTAATGTAAAAAAAACAACATTTTTGTAATTGTTCTTTCTTCCTTCAAAGAAAAATAATAAAATGAAGCTATTTATATATATATATATAAGAACAAACACAACTGAACATTGTATAGTAAATAATAAGCGCTTCTTGCATTCTTTCATCACACTACCGGAACATAAAAAACTGAAGAGACGAAGAAGGTGAAAGAGAGAGAGAGAGAGACAGAAAAAAAGGTAATGCCTTTCAATCGCATGCAAATGTGTATGCTTTCATCACAACAACACAATCGTGCCCATTGACAGTAGACACCATAGTCGTGTAAACAGAACATAATATAACAATAATCGAACACATATTTTAATGATTAATAACGTGTAACCTGTTTACAAAAGAAAAGTTAAGATATGTCTATTAAAAGTCAACAAGTATTCAAATTTAAATTTGTAGTTCTTTTTTTTTCTTTATATTAATTAATTGTTTTTATTTTGAATTCCTAGCGAGCACAAACAGATGCAAATCGAATGCCAGGCCGAACAAATAGTTTGTCAACAATTTCATTTAAAACACCTGACTCAACAACAACAAAACAAGGTATTAGTCAACCAAGACCAAAATCTGATAATACTAGAACTAATAGGACTAGATCTATTAATGTCGGAGATAATCCACAAGGATCAAAAGTTTCTAAACCATTAAGAATGATATCTGAAGTTGATGGTATGATAATAAAAAAAAATATTTTATATACATGAAAAGTTTTTGTTTTTTGCTTGGATCTTGTAAAGAAACAAATATTGATGAAGTCTTAAGTTCACCTGATGTATCAACTTTACCACAAACATTTTGTACTGAAATGCAACAAGATGAAATTTATGAAACAATAGTCGAAGAACTAAAAAAGAAATTACCACAGCGAAGTCCACCAAATCAATCTCGATCAGAAACTGTTTTATCAGAGCAAGAACAACCATTATCACCACATCTTCTTGGTATAGATGATGATGAGGAAAATATTCTTGATAATGATACAAGTACCATTGATGATGCTTTATCTTCTGAATCCAGTGAAAATATTGCATCATCAGTAGAAGATGATTATGATACTGATATTGAATCAGGTTAAATTTATTTTTCAAATTAATGTTTTAACTGGAAATTTTCGTCTTGTTTTTTTTTTCGTGTGATAGATGTTATTGTTAACGACGATCATGATATAACAGGTAGAACACAATATCGTGAATTATGTTTACATACAAAGATCATTCCATGTTCATATTTTATGGCACATATACAAAATAAAGAAATGATTTTACGTTATCATCAATTTAGTACTGATGATATTCGAGCAATAGCAAAAACTCTTTCTGTATGAATAATTTTTTATTATAAATATAGATTTCTTTTGTTTTTTTCTAATAGTCAAATCTTAATATTGAACGTTTATTCTTAGATGGAAATTATTTACAACAACAAGCAGCAAAATATATTTCACGAATGATAATAGTAAATGATTTTATTACAGAATTAGTAAATATTTTATATAATTAAAAATAAAATTTCATATTTAATATATATATATATATATTAGTCTCTGGCTGATAATTGTCTTGGTGGTGGTGAAGGTACTCGAGAAATTTGTAAAATGTTAACATTAAATCGTAATTTAAAAAAAATTAATCTATCAGGTATACAAAAATATTCTTATGAATTCTATTTATTGTTTATATATTTATAATTGATAGGAAATAAATTTAATGATTTTGATGCTGTTCAGTTAGTCGATGCATTCGAAGTAAACATAAATTCGTTTTTTTTTTGTGAAACACAGTCTTAAAGCAGTATTGAACTATAGGAGAAAAAATTTGGACACTTCCCGCCTTACGGATGCCAGTCAGAGACTATCACAAACCAGCGTCCTACGGAACAGTCCCGAATCCCGAAAAATTTGGGACGAAACTTTCAGGATTGAAACGTACCACACACACACTTTAAGATTTTTATTTGTAACATATCTTAATATTTAAATAAATAAAAGAGAAAAGAAACAGACAGAGAATTAGACTTCTACTCGAGCAAATTCTGAAAGAAAAGGCAATTGATTACAAGTGCCAGAATAATGTCAGAGTGCATCCTATACGATATCTTCTATTTCTAAGTTTTACATTTCCACAGAGAAATATATAATGAGCTTCAGTTGATAAGTTAAAATATGATCAAACTAAATCAACTATTGCCATATAAGGAAATTATTGCATGTAGCATCTGAAATATCAATGATCTTTTTCAGATTGAGTCAACGAAAGTTTCAGCAGTTAACTATCGTTTTTCGTACTTTTTTACAGCTCTCGGACGAAATCGAGTTTTTAAAAAACGAATTTCAGGTATACATTCGTTGTATTCAGCAAATTTTTTCTCATTTTCAAATAATGATTAGATGTTCATGGAAACTAAACGAGTGAGAAGTAATAAGCCGGCTATTGTACTTTGTCCAGTCAGATACCTTTCACATCACAGACGTTGATAAGCGATCTCTCTGTGATTAGCAAGAGTAGCTACATTGTGTTTCACATTTTAATTTCGCAGAGATTGTACTAACAGTTTTTGTTTTGGATAGCAAAGTAAAATACTACGTGAACTGAATTTAAGTCATAATTGTTTTGGTGAAGAATGTGGTAAAGTACTTGGTGCATATATTAGTAAGATATTTCATTAGATATTGTTTTCTAAGTCTTATATATATATATATGCCGATTCAATATTTATAGGTGGTAATGATTCCTTAGAATCGATTGATTTAAGTTGGAATAATATTCGAGGACGTAGTGCTATTGATATTGCAAATGGAATTAGAGTATAAACTTATTTCTAATTGTTTTTTTTATTATAAATATAAAATATATTATTTAAAATCTAGGAAAATGTTCGTTTGAAACGATGTAATCTTGAAATGAACGGTTTTGGACCAGATGGTGGACAAATTTTAGGAGATTGTATTAAACAAAATGGTGCATTAGAAGAATTTAATATTAGTGCAAATCGTCTTAATACATCAAATGCATTTGGTATAGCACTTGGATTACTTTCAAATGATTCGTTACAAGTTCTTAAAGTAATTCTTTGCTAGATTTTCTTCTTATATTTGATTTAGAAAAAAAAACAAAAAAACAAGTAATATTTATTGTAGATTGCTGATAATCAAATAAATAGTGATGGTGCACTTGCTATTTTTCTTTGTATCAAAGCAAATGAATCAAGTATATTACGTGAAATAGATTTTTCAGTAAGAATAATTTCATTTTTTCTTTTTTGGACGTCAAACTAAGTGTTTTATATTTCAAATTATTTATTTAGCATACAGTAGTTACTCAAGAAGCATTTAATATTTGTGAAGATATTGTTAAATTAACAGGTGGTAAATTTCGATATCAAACTGGAAAAGTAACACCAAGTATGTCATTTTAGATTATTGTTAAGTAGGAAAAAAAAATAAAAATAATTTATTTTTAGATATTCTTCAACCTAATTCAGCAAGTGAATGTTATACTAAAACTGATGAAGAACTTCTTAATAAACTACGTTCAAATGCAGCTAATGCAAAATCACATATTACATGACTATTATTTCTTTTTAGTTGTAAAACAAACAACGATAAAAGCAAAAAAAGTGTTCCTACGAATGATATACTTAGAATGATATATAAAAGGAAAGAGATGTTTTTAGAACAAAACATTCTCTATTTCCTAATCATACAATATGAAATATTGTTTGATTTGGTTATAAAATTTATTGAAAAAATATAAATAAAATAAAATTAATTATATGATTTCTAAATTTTCAATATGCTTCATTATAAGATGTTCTCTATTTTATTATAACACTCGAACGTATTTACAGGAAATTTAATGATAAATAGAAAGATAGAAACAAACAATGTAACGAAGAAATATAATGAATGAAACCAATTCCACAGAAAAGAAAGGGCTAGAAGGGGGGGAAGATCATAAGGTTGTATGTATATTCTACACTAGCAAACTTTGTTATAGGGATGTGGGTTGTCTCTCAGATCACATCCACACCCTCTGAAGCTTTGGAACTATATGCACTATTTAGTTTGTTACAGTACGAGCGAATTGAATTTTCTCCCTTTGCTTTTGTTGCGTTACTCCCTTTATTTTTAAATATACTGTATATAGGAAGAAAGTACAGAACGAACTGCATCTTATGGTATATCTACCTTGAATAGGAAATAGAGTTCCTGTTAACTCTGTATCGTTTTGGATAGTTCTAGAAAATTCCGGAAGTGTTTGTCCTATGACCTTTGATCTGGTAACAGACGGATGGACAGACAACTGTGTTTTATTGTATAATTATGAATAATTAATAGAGACAATCACAAATACGAAGATATACATAGACAGTCAAGTTATCAATGAAAAGATTAAATCTATTCACTTTTTTTAATGTTACACACCAACAAAAAAACAAACGATTTATTCTATTTAAAATTAAATTATCTACATGAGAATAAAAACAAAAATGATTAAAAAATTAAAAAATGATGAAAATACAATAGAGTTTGCTGCTCGATTAAGAGTAAATGGATAAAAGAAATCACCTGGTATACGAACATTAGGTCGTGGTAATTGATCTCCTTGAGTAACAGGTGCATTTGATATATCTTGAAAAGTAACACTTTGACTTATTAATAATGGTGTTGTTAATGTTGTTGTATATGTTCTAGTCTATAGAAAGATAACAAACGTTTAATAAGAAAAAAATTACCAATTAGCGAAATGTCTACAAGCTAAAAATGCGAAACACAATATAACTACTGTTGCTAATCAAAGTACAAAGAGGAATTTCTATAGAACACACGGACATGACTTATTTTCTATCAAAAACGTATTTTATTTTCATAGAAACATAAATTTCCAGTACTCAATAAAAAAAAAACTGAAATTTGTAAAAGAAGATTTTCAATGTAAAAATGCCAACCTTTAGAAACCAAGATTTGTTTCAGAAAACTTGAATCTCAGTCCAGAAGGATTTATACTAAACGTGTAGACGTATCAGACAAAGCAAAACATTCTATGAAAATTTCATCGAGTTTGGAACTAGACTACACTGAACACAACTTTTTCAGAAACCGTTAGTTAAGAAAGTTTATTCCATAGATCTTTCTTTGGAAAACGACAGAAACTTGGTCAGTTTTTAAGCCTAGGATTTTTCCAAACCCTTAAACAGATTAGAGTCTGGTCTGTGGAGTTTTCATGGTAATGTTTGTCATGATCGGTTGGAGAAGGGATTGGGTGTGCGAATTTCTACTCTCTATACTTCAACATTCCTGTTAGATCGTGTTTCACAAAAATTGAACGAAAAGATTTTTTCCACTTACTACACTTTGATAATGAAATACAACTGCACCAAGAATAGGTTGTGGATTAGTAACAGAACCAATGTTAGCATAAGCTATTTGAATGTCTAGTCGAATATAACATTGATTTGTAGATGAACTTGGTATAGAACCTTGTTGACATACAGGTTCATTAGAAGATCCTATTTCAAATATACAATATGTAACAGGTAGCCAATAACCAGTAATATTTGATGGATTTGGATTGCCATAAGCAGCCACATAGAGATTAAAAGAATTGAAAGGCATAAAAATATTTGGCAGATTAGTTTGATTTGGACAAACTTCGGAAACAATCGGACTATGAAAAATGAATGAAAAAAATATTCAAATATAAAAGAGAATGTTCAATTTAAGTAAAAAATTTTATTTATTCACTTATATATTACTTTTTAAGAACAAAAAAAAAAAAGATTTGAAACAATTATGAAGATTGTTCTCATTAGTTTTCATCGAGTTCGAAAGCTCTAAAATATTTTTTTTCCAGTAAGCTCTAACAGATAATATTAAAATCGAAGGTCTCTTACAAATTAATCTTCGTGAATAAAAATGAAAATGTCTTCTGCACGGTATCATATTTGTCAGCATCGAGTCCAAAATTTTCGGACCTGGACCCGATAGATTCTAATGGGCCCTTATTTTTTTATTTGAAAAAGTATGTCAGACTGCAGTGCCCTTTTTTTCTAGCTCATGAAAGTCTCTTTATACCACATTCATGAATAATAAACAACAAAATACTATAGTCTATTTGTATTACGAGAAATTATCATAGTCTTTCGTATAGTATTCATATACATTCTGTTCTCTAAGATAAACTTATGCATATTTTGTTTTTAAACTAAATTCGATACAGTTGTAGGTGCCTTTCAATTTTCAATAATCAATGGTTTTATCATTGCTTTCTTCATAGTTAAAAATGGACGTTTTGTCATAGGCCTAGGATATTTATTGACTATATGATATTCCAGTGTGTTCAATTCCGTATCATAGAACAAGTGAATATCAGTGTGAAGCTTTTTATGTATCAATAATCAGCACAATTTCTCTATGAATGAAAAAAATTTTTGGCCTCAAAACCCTTGGAGGAGGGTATAGAAAAAATTATTTTTGAAATGAATATGTGATATTTATAGATTCTTCTAGATTTTAATGCATAAATCAAATCTAGATACTCGGAATAAAAATTTGAAAAAGAAATAATAAAACTAGTCGATTTCCTTCCGATAATCATAATTTTCGTAGTTCTCCCTGCAAGATCTGGTAGACTAAAATTTTTTTCCGTTTATAAAGGAATTATTTATATCGTTTCATCAAGAATTTTGTGTCGATCATTACTACATAAAAAATTTTAATAGGACAGTTGAGTATTATTAAAATATCGTTAACATACCGGTCTCGTCATATAGGAAAATAGATTATTCTAGGGAACACTCTTGCCAGTTGACAACAAGTCCCTGCTGCTCCGAAAGATCTTATCTGTGAAACATTGAAAACTCGATAGTATGCGAGACAGTTTCTGTAGGATAGAATTGAGCAACCTGAAATACCATATAGTCAACAAATATCCTAGGCCTATGACAAAACGTCCGTTCATTTTTAATTATGAAGAAAGCAATGATAAAATTATTGATTATTGAAAATTGAAAGGTACCTACAACTGTATCGAATTCAGTTTAAAAATAAGATATGTCCTCAGCATATTAAAGTTTGAGAAAAATTCGATTTCTTATATTCCATTCGATACCTATATTCTATTCAAAACTTGAATAAGAAAGATTGCAATTTAAAGAATTTTACCTAAATAGACACATTGATTGAACATTTTCACCAAAACGAATAGGTATACGAGTTGCGTCAGAACAAGATCTGTCTGTTGATGCTTGGAGAATGGTAAAATCTGATATACTTTAGACAAAGAAAAAAAATTTGTTTTTATTGTTTTCTAAAAAGAAAAAAAGGAAATTATCAATTCGTTTCTCACTCAATATAACTTCCATTTGAAGTACCAGCTATAATAGGAGCACCTTGTATATAACCTGGATTTCCACTACGTAATGTTGTTGATGCTATTGATCCATTCTATCATAAAAGAATATTCGAAAGATATGTTTAAAAAACAAATCTATTCTTCTTATTTACTTTAATAAACCGAACAGTAAATGTTTGTTGTATTGCGTTGTTCAATGTTCCACTGGTAGTATTTAAAATAATACTACAACTAACTATACCAGTTGGATTTAAATAGAAAATTGTCATTGTTAACTAAAATACAATTGTGATTGATATACATATATACATTTATCTTAATTATCTTACAGTTCGAAGAGCATTTGAACAAGTAGAACCAGTCCAGGTTGAGGGAGTACTAGGTCCATTACAACAAATAAAACTTCGATTATCGCCTAAATAAAAGAAAAAACAAGGATACATATATGTATATATAAGCAAAAAAAGACAAAATACTGATGAGAGTTTCTGGATTCTAGAAAAAATAAAATAAAAAACCTATGAAAATAGTTTATTTATTGATCATTTTACCGTAAGAAAACAAAGCGTATTATCATATTTCGCAGGATTGAGTGCATCAAGACATATTTGTTCATTTATTGGTTGAGCACATGTCGATTTAAAATCATTCATATAAGCTAAATAAAAATGATTAAAATATCCATTATACATTTTTTTTAATTGTTTATAGAAATTAAATTTACTTATCGGTAGTAAACCTGAACATGTTTGACTATTGAAAAGTGCTATTGGTAATGCATAATAACTTGTTATATTAGTTGTCGAAATATATCTGAATATCGAAGTACCTGCCTATAATATTTGCAATTATCTTATATATATATAAAAACAAGTTATTCAATGTATAAAATAAAACAAACAATTGTAAGTATTGATTCATATGATTATTTTGAATTTTGATTTGATCAACTTATATTTAAAGAATTTCATAGGTCAGAAAAACAAAGATTCAGTCATTATTTTTTTTTCGAATTCGTACAACAAACAAAAAGAAGTTTCTCAGAAAAATGACTCCGATTTTGGGATTTTCCAGCTGGAAACTGTTATAAACTTGAAAGTAGTATTATGATGATCGTGTCCGATGAGTAACTCTACGCGGTTATAGCTATTTTCTGCTCGAAGCAGGAATTCGGTAACTATGTCCGGTTTCGACTAGTGACCGGCGTGACTGCCGTGACTATCAGTGAGTCACGGTCAGTCACGGGAACTTTCTCGAAATTTTGGAAATCCCTGAGGGGGAGTAAGGGGACCTTCGCGAAGCTACCGTCTCCCACCCGCTCATCAGTTTTTATGAATAATTTGGAAGTTTCTAGTATTCGTGATTTTGGAAACTCCTGAGGGGAAGCACGGACACCTACGCGAAGCTACCCTCCTCCGATCATCACTTTTAATAGCAAACAGAACCCTAGTCTCAATCCTGTTCATTTCTTGAGAAATTTTGCAAGGATCTGTCAGGATTCTAAATCTCCAAGATCTTATCAAATTTTCCTCAGGATCCCGGCTCAATTCCTGATAATTCCTGCTGCCGGGATTTCTCACAGTTATACAGGATTCTGTTTAGGATTTCTTTCCGTATCTGACCAGATGTGTTTGTAGATAATGAATACAAGATCCTTCAAGGATTCATTCATGATCCTGCTTAGGATCCTAACAGGGATAATGGAGAGGATTCTCTCAAGATCTTATCAAATTTTAGACAAGATCTGATGCGGATCTTGATACAAGAATCCAGTCAACTTTTGCAGCTAAAACTGAGGAGCGTCGCAACAAAAAGTCAACAAGAGACCATATTAGTGACTGTTGTTGTCAGTTAATACAAGTAGAACTTCTGTTCATACCCACAACCACATCTTGTTTTCCAAATTATTCCAGGTTAAACAATAATGGTAACCTGGTCAGGGTCCTGATGTAATCCTTTTTCGAATCCTGCTGGGATCTTGAAATTCCGTGGCTACACACTTCTTTCAGGATTTCATCGTTTCCTCAGGAAAAAAAGAGTGAATTCTGGAAAGATGCTGACTGAATCCATAAAGAACCTGGTACGGAAACATCAAAGATTTTCCCTAGGGAACCTTTGCAATTGCTCTTTCTGGAAAGGTTTTTTTCATGTTAAGAAACCAGAAAAAAGGGCCGTGACTCACGGTCACGGTCACGGTGAGCCCAGCCCGTGATCAACCCCTCGTGACCGTGACGTGACCGTGACCAAAAAAGTTGGTCACGCCGGACACTAGTTTCGACCTTCACTAAAACAATCCAGCCTACGGATCTGATCATGGATTCCTGTTTTCAAGTGTCTATCTTTATCCGAAATTTTTCGGCTTGACTCGGTCGTACTTCATTCAACTGAATTATATATTTTACTTGATAGTTAGTTAATTCAATTGGTGTTCCAAGTGGTGATGAAACACTATTATCGAAATTAATTGATCGTGGAAAAGTACTTGAATCTAATATTTGATTTATTTTTTGTTGATAATAAGCAGCATTCATATCTATATCTGAAGAGAATTGTTTAAAATAAATCAAAAAAAGAAATAATAATAATAACAAACTTCGTTCATTGTCAATACAAACAAGATTATCTTGTTTTTCAATAGTATATGGTGAATTTGATTTAAATATTGGTATATTTTTAAAACATGTTGATTGTGTTGTAGATTTTAATGAAATTAAACTAAATGAATTATTGAAAATAGTGATATAAATTTGATCTATGTTTTTTTATTACAAAAAATTTCATCTTATGACTTCGATGAGTTTAATAATAGAATTCAAATAAAAAAGCAAGGCTTATTAAAATTAATTATTTCGTGAAACATGAATGTTAAAGTTTAGGAGTAAAAATTCGGACATCCTCTTCACAGACTTTCATATTGCATTTGCGAAGAAGTGTATCCCAAAATACATAAAATGAAACAGTCTCTGTATGATTAGAAAGAGCAGCAACATTGTATTTCATATTTTAATCTCACAAAGATTATGCTAACAGCCTTCTTTTTTTTTTCAATCATTTTTATATAGAAAAATCGACTTTTTTCTATCATCGTCAAATATGATTCTATCAATTTAATGATCTTCTTACATTTTATCTTCATTCGAGCTTTATATCTAATTTACCTAATATCTTCATTTGTTGTCAAATGATGACAATTAAATCCTTTGATATCATCTGGTGAACAATCAATATCACAACAACATGATACATCACATAAACCATAGTTTAAATTACATGAACATATTTCAGTACCAGTATTTATTGGATTAACTGCTAGATTTTGACATTGAATATTTTGAATAAATAATAGAAACCATAAAGTAATAAGTATAAACATCTAAAATTTATTTTTGTAATAAACAAACATATAGAGAAAAAGAAAAATTTATTGAAAAAAAAATATTTTATTTATGCTCTAAAATAAAAAGAAAAACTATTTAGATGATGAAGAATAAGAAAAAAAGAAAGATTTATACATACGCTTTTAATGAAAGTTGTTCCATTTTTTCACTTTGTTCACGTTCAGTTTTTTGTAATGATTCATATTCAACTCGAAGTCTATATTAAATACAAAATAATTCAATTAATTATAAGAAAAAAAAGATATTGATATATACCGATCAAGTTCAATCATTTTTTCTTTAATTAATGATTGTAATTGTTGTTTTTCAAATTCTCGATATTTAGCCGACGATTTTAACATATTCTTGGCTCCAATCGACTAAAATTTAAAAATACAAGATTTATAGAAAATGAATGCATTTCACTTATGAATTTTCTTAAATAAATGAAGGAAAAAAACTGTTTATCGGAATAGTATCAATTAACTGAATGGAAAGAATTTGTGAAATAAACTTACTTTAAGTCTTGCTATTTCGACTTGTTTTGAATAATCTTCAGTTTTTTCAATTAATGTATCAACAATTTTTTTGAATTCAAGTACATCTTAATAAATAATTTGAAAATGAATATTAAATGAAAAATTAAATAAATTTACTATCAATAAAATCTTTGCATTCATCACGTAATTCAGCCGAATCAGTTACTCTTTCCGGATCAATTAAACGAATTTTATTTTCATCATCAATAAATAAACCAAAATTAGAAAGTGCTTCTTCAACCATTTTATTACTTATAAAGATTAATCAATCTCGCCTTTCTTTTTTTTGTCTTAAATGAAAATCCAACATACCATTGAGAAATTCCGAATACTTCTAGTTGTTTAGCAACTGTCATATGGTATCATTTGGTTTTTGAAGTGATTATAATCGATCAGAATTTGTTCAACGAGAAAAAAAATAAAATATTTTCACGAACACTAAATATTGATTTGAGACTTTATAGATGGCGCTAATAACAAATAAAATCTTCAAATTATGTACTGTCGTTCACTTATATTCAATGGTAAAGATTAGACACTGAGGGTGCGGATCCGGCACCAGTCAAATTTTTATGATCCGCTACCTGAGTCGGACTCCGATATCGACCACTTTTCTCTTCGATTAAGTTCTTATGTATACAAGCTGCGACCTTTATATCATCGACGGAAGAGCCACGAGGTCTAGTTAGGCTGGCAGATTGGATAGATAAAGCCTTAAGTAGGCTCTATTAAATTTAAAAAATTTCTATTACTGTTTAATTTCCATTTTCTTCGAACAGATGACGGGTCGTTACAAAGTTAGGTCACATATTATCTTTTAAATACATAATAAATTGGTAAAACTATATTTTATTGAATACGGTAAATTGTTATGATGATATTTGACAATGCTTGTAACAAATAGGCACTGCTGAACGATTCCTTAGTGTTATGTAGTGATTCAACAATGTTTAAATCATATTATGATTTCTCATATTCATAGAGAAAAATTAGATTTTCTTGATTTGAACAGCATGTGTCTTGGTTTTTTTAAAAACCTCAGTATAGAAAAAACTTTTTGGTCATGATTTGTAATCAGATCTTTTTAGTCTGTTCCTTTATCGTTTTTTTAACAGTATTTCTCTGTTACTTTGTTAGTTTCGGATTTCGTTCGAAACAATAAAGCATTAAATAAATCTAGCAAGCAAGCCTACAGCATTTACGATTATAAATAAATATAAAAAACCACTTCTTAACTCGTTGTCTGGGTTAGTTTGGCTGAACAGTTGAGCCTACCCTACACTGGAACCGTTTTGCCGACTCTGCTTGCTACGCATCATTGTCCGATGACAATAAAGAAAAGTCAATACGCCACTAGTGTAAGCCGATCAGCTGACGACGGAACTACCCCAACTGATTCAGAGTTTTCGGCTTCAGTGAGACTAAGAAAATTCTAGAAGCGCTTGTGCCCATAGGCTGCTTCCTAGAATGTGCGAAAAATTTCAATTAAAACAGGTGATGTTTCCTTATTTCATTAGACTTGTTGATAGACAGAATATCGGATCGAACTACTTTCGTTTCACTTTGGTGTGGATATCGTACTGGGAGCTAAAATTTTAGTGAAACGACTATAACTTATGAATTTGTGAAATGCATACATATATATACAAAAATGACGGTTGATGTTTCTCTTAATGAGTGGTTCTTCGCACAGCCATCATCGAGAAAAACGCAGAAGAAAATGACTAAAACAACTCACATTTTTATTCTAAACATGATTGATTTCTTTTTAATCAATAAAACCTAATTGAATATCCTATGTTTATATATAGTATGTATTCAATGCATTTTATTTGAGTTCAGATACAAGCATCATTTCTATACTGTACTACATACAGCAAAGATTTCCATGGCAGTACTGCTGCTACCACTGTGCGAGAGATGTTTCGAAAAATATTCTTGCGACAACAGCAGATTTCCAGTCGCGATGGATATCTATGTCAAACATGATTGCATATGGTCCTTTCCAAACTTCGACATATTGGTAAAAATACATTTATGATTAGTCTATCATATCGAAAAGAGAGAAAAGAATTCCAAAATTCAAATTCAATTCTAGAAAATTTGCCTATAAAATAATCATTATATATATATGTAAAAATGATTTTTGCTGTCAATTTAACGAAATATTTTAAGATGAAAAAGGAAACTATCGACAACAAATGATTTATCTCTAAGTTTTATTGTGTGAAAAAAATTATTTCGATTGAATCAATAACGGAGTACTAAATAAGTGATTACTTGATCGAAAATCGATGATACCGTATTTTTTAAATGGTATAGAGAGTTCTAATCCAATTAAGACTTCACTTTCATCGATTATTCTTTATATGTCATTTATTGTCTATCATGGTGCCGATAAACTGATTTTTTAATATTTAAAAATCCTGTTTTATCT